TCTATCCCTGTATAACATAAAAGGGTCGGGTGTATGGTCCATCACTGCATAATGCTAAACTGCTTAAAGGACTCTATGGTTGCAGGAGTTAAAACTGCTAAACAGGTTTGTTTTTCAAATATCTTTCTCTTTTAAAAATTTTCACTATATGTTTGTGATTTCAAAAACTTTAATTTCTTTGTTAAAATCGTAACATGTCCTTGCTCCGAGTTCTATTTCAAATCTCCCCCTACTTTCAAAATTTCTAAAACATTTTCTAAAACGAAGGAGCTTGGACACCTGCATATGATAAATACCGCGTTGCCACGTTTACCGCTTTGCTGCCTCGTCTCTCTCTTCGGATTCAGCCAGACAAGTCTCTTCCTATAGAAGGTCTTTTCCTATAGATAGTCTTAGGAAACCCTAAGGAGATCAAAGAAAATGCCAGGGATAAAATTTTCCAACTGAAAAATCCTGAAGTTAAGTGGCATGGCCAGAAAATCCAACTCGAGTTTCAATCTTGTGTAACTCATCGACAACGACGGAAACCTTAGGAAGGAGGAAAAATGCCCTAGGTAGGTGAGTTCGGTGAGCACAATGACTTGGAGGGATAGTTGGTATGCCTTCTGACCATGTGGCATCAGGACGTAATTTAAAATGTTTGTTTTATCTTTGATGTTCACCTGCCCCTCGAAGGATAGGGAACGTCAAAGTGTCTACTTCTTTGCCATTCGCTTATCCCTCGAAGGACATGGAGTGCTAAAGAGTGGCAACTTTAGATACCCCATTTTAAAACTGGTAAATTCTAGGGTTTCTGAACCTTTAGGACCACATTATCCTAGTAAACCCAAAATCCATAGTTCACACAGTCTACCCTGTGACCTGGAACAAGTCTACATACCCAAAACCCTGTTTTTTACCTAGATTTTTGTAAACGTCCTATTTTACTCATTAAAAATATTAAATAGCTCCGTTTTGATCCAAATTTTCTCTTAGAGCTTCATAAGAGGCTAAGGAAAAAACCTCAAAGTGAAAAAGGGAAATTTGGACAAGTTTGAGTTGGACGACACTGGCAGTGTTGCCCAAGTCATTTTAGTAAATATCCTGTTTTACCAAAACAATCATTAAAAATAGTAAAAAAATCTATTTTGACCCAAAATTTTTCTGGTAGCTTCACAAGAGGATGGGGAATGCATTCAAAGTAAAAAATAAATAAAATAACATAAAATAAAATAATAATAATAATAATAATAATAATAATAATAATAATAATAATAATAATAATAATAATAATAATAATAACAATAATAATAATAATGATAATAATAATAATAATAATTTTGACCAAATTTTATTTGGGTGACACGGCCCGTGTCGCCCAGTCCATTTTTCCCCGAAATGAAATTGTTGGCTTTTTAGATGTTTTTTTACCTTTCTTGGGGGCGACTCTAAGTGTGTCGCCTAGGCGACACGACCCGTGTCACCCAAATCCGTGACCCCCAAAAGGTGGATCTTTGACCAAGGGATTTGTTTGTTTCGGGAAGATATTCTCCCCAAAAATTTTGGCCCCCCTTTTTAGCATATTTTTGGGACTATTTAGAGGGGGACGGATAGAGAAACAGGAAGCGAGTTCAAAAAAAGAGAACGATAGAGATAGAAACCCTATGAGAGAGAGAAAACCTGGGATAGAGATAAAAACCCTAGAATGCTGAGAAGACAGGGATTTGAGAGAAAAACTCAGAGACAAAACCCTAACTAACCTAAGCCTGTGAACCCTAGTTCTAAGCCATTTCCAGGGCACAACCACCTTATTCAATTAAGACTCAAAGAGACAAAAGAGAATCGGTTATGATACGGGCAAGCCCTAGAAGGCTCGGGAGTCTCGAGCCATTCGGCCTTGTTTGGTATCATTTTCCTTTCTTCTTTTTTATTCTTATTTACTATTTTAATTTTATTTTGATCTGCTTATTCGCTTTAAAATCATGTTTTGGATACTCTAGATCATATTGACCTTGCCACAAATCTGAGAGCAGATCTGCTCGTTCCCGAGCAGATCTGGCTTCAGATCTGAATTCGATTTGTCCTGCTTTCTTTACCATTTTATTTCTTGCATTTTCATTTTAAGGTGTTAAATCGAGAGATCTTCATTGGAAGATCTATTTGATTTTCATCATAAACAGGTATTGTTTCTTCACTTTTCCTTCATCTTCTTTTTACTGTTTTCATTTTATTTTGATCTTATTTTGTTTAATTTGCTTTAAAAATCGTATTTTAGTGTCTTAGATCATGCTGACTCTACCACAGATCTGAGAGTAGATCTGCTCGTTTCCGGGTAGATCTAGCCTCAGATCTGAATTCGATTTGTCCCACTTTCCCTACCACTTCATTTTCATAAGTTTAAGGTGTTAAGGTTCGAGGGATCTTCCTCAGAAGATCTGACAGATTTTCATTGTTAACAACATGCACCAAATTTGACAATGCACCAAGCTTTATTGAAAAATCAATTTTCAAGAATGAGCTCAAGGATAGGTTGTTAGGGTGGCAGGGCACTATAACATGATGTTTTGTATTCATTTCATTCTTATCGATGGTAGGGGACTCCAAGAATAGCCCAAAAAAGATTCTTCACATACAAAATAGATGGGTGGCAAACTTGTATAGCATTGACACTAAAGCAATGTTTCAAAACCTAGATAGTTGGGGTCGATCGTCTATCCCACATATTTATGTTGGATAGTTGGGGTGGATCGTCCACCCCACATATTTATGTTGGATCACTAGATTTGCAATTTGGATAAGACCAAATCAGCTTGAATTGGCAATATCGTAAAAATATTAAAAATAACCTATACCTTCCCGAAATTGTTTCAATCCTGTCTACTTGTCCATTGAGATAAGAGATTCTCATTCCCAATTGTCGGGTTTCAAAACACCACAATGAGAGTATTTTTCTTGTGTACCAACACCAAAAGAACTAGCCAAGCTGGAGTTGGTCGCAATTTTTAACGAAAAAAATTTATACAAGTTTGCAACCTTATAATATTGAAGTAAGGTGCACTTCAAAAATCTCACATAAGAGAGTATTCTGGCGTTAGAGAACCCTCTAGTTGATCATCTTGACCTCAAGATGTATGGACGTGAAAAAAATAATTTAAATCTAAAAAATAGTGCATCTTTTAACATGTTATCTAAACTATTATTTTCAATATTTTTATGTTTGGTTTTTACGTATTTATTAGTATATGCTCCATCTATACTATTTTTAAAATTTTAAATTTTATAACTAAGAATGAAAATAGATTTTCAGTGTACCATAAGATGCGCCTTACTTATTATGTATACCTTATACTAGTAATAAAAAAACTAATTGATTTAATCGGCCGACTCAATCATGATTGATCACCGGTCGATCCCGAGTTAGCCCAATTCCAAAGGTTATGTATTCTGAAATATTCATACAATGCACTAATCGACTGATTTACTGTACTAATTGGTACTAATTGGCACAAATCGGCCGGTTGGTGCACTAATCAGTGATTTGTTGTAAAGATCACCCGAGTTGTGCACTGTTATAGTGAAAAATCTATGAACACTTGAAAAATGTTGAAAGTTGAAGGTCTAAAAATACATTACAAGATGGACTATTTATGACACTTGGAATCCATTTTTTCTCATGTCCATACTTCTTGAGGTTGAGATGATCGATTTGAGGATTTTTGGGCATCGAAATAATGCAGATAACCGAGGGCAATGAGGGCAAGACGACCTGCTTGATGCTCGAGCATTCTTGGTAATGTCATTTGGTCTAACCAATGCCCCAACAACCTTTTGCACATTGATGAGTGAGTTATTTGCCCCTACTTAGAGAAGTTTATCGTAGTCGATGATATTTGATACTAAATAGACCGGATGATATTGTGGTGTATACTAAACCAAGCTGACTTTTCTATTGGATTTTTGAGGTGCTCTTTAATTTAATTATTAAGGGCCTAGCCCTTAAATAAACTTTTTCCTTTATGGGTTTTAAGGGGTGTGGTTTGTATAAGGCTGGGGCCTAAACTGTCAAAGTAAGGTGCACATTCAAATAGTATCGAGAGACGTTGTTTTAGTATTAGAAATCTTTGTGATGGCCTGAAAATTTATATCTAATTATATAATTTAAAGCTTGAAAATAATGTAGATCAAGCATATCTTGAACAATTGAAAATCTTGAAAACTAGCATTGTGGTCTATAAAATGCATTACAAAATGCACTAATTCCAAGACAAGAAAATGCATTATATGATGCACTATTTTTGAGACAAGAAATTCAGTTTTCCCATGTTCATATATCTTGAGGTCGAGATGATCGATTTTAGGATTTTTGAGCATTGAAACAACTTTTTCGAGTGAAATTTTGATGTGTGCTTTAGTTTGATTGTTTAGGGCATTACCTTTATATAAACCTTTTCCCTAATTTAAGTATACAATAAAAGCGTATAGTTTTTGTACAGTATGGTCACAATCACCCCTAGTCATTAGATGTAAAATTGGGTGACTAGAAGGCGTAATATTACATCATCTCCTTCAATTACTAGTTTGCGTAATATTACGCCATCTCCTTCAATTACTAGTTCACTGAAAAAGTATTGCTTTAGATGTCTAAAATTTTTCTTCGACACCCAATTATGCTTATAATATTTTTTTGGTTTATTTATTTTATGTGACAATATAAAAAAACAATGCATGTAGATTTTAAACATTTTTTTACAATTTTTTGAGATTATTTACTCAAATTATATTTTTCAGTAAAAATAGGGACACTAATAAACCAGTGTAATGCTATGGAATCTACTTAAATTACTAGTTCACTGAAAAAATATTGCTTCATGTATTTACATTTTTTTTTTCGACACCCAATTATACTTATAATAGTTTTTTAGTTTGTTTATTTTATGTGACAATATAAAAAAACAATACAAGTAAATTTTAAATATTTTTTACATTTGTTTTGAGACTTTTTAATTAAAAATTATATTTTTCAAGAAAATAGGGCCACTACTCTGCCGATTAGTCGTAATCGGTCCAACTACCTAATACAAACGTTGCCAATTTTTTATACCCGTCGTATTCCTCACCAGTAGGCACAATTTTCTGGAGGATTGTTTTCTGCATGTTCTTCACTATTAGACCCTGTGACCTTTTTCCTGGCTCAAGGATCCTCGATAGTGAATATCTGTCAAACAATTTTTCTCTCTTAACGAGCTTTCTGCGAAAGTTTGAATTTCTTGACAATATCTAGTCCAGCAAGGCCCTAGAAGCTGGGAACCAAAAGAAAATCGCTCATAAAAGCTCCTGGCCAAGAAGCCATTGATGGAGGCAATGACTCTCAGCCTCAGGGTAAGAATCCCAGGTCGATAGGACGATTTTCAGGCTCATTTTATTCTTCCAAGTCAAACAAGAGGAAAAGGGTTGCCTATGAAAGTGGTTTTGAAGCCAGAAACATGTCTGATAGCTCAACGGGTGTCCGTAGAAAATTTGGAGAGAAGAGAAAGAAAGAAGACGAAGTTGCAGGCTCGTTCCTTATCACTCAATGTTCGGAGGACCAGATGAGGCAGAACTGCACTGTTTTAGTTTCCAACTTGTCAATGAAGTTGAAGACAAAAGCAATTATAAAGGAGTTCTCTAAATTTGGGGAGATAGAATCAATCAGTATTTCTAAAGTCAAACCAATTTTGAATGTGAGTGAATCGAGTTTGGTTTAATTGGTTGACGATTCTTTATTGATGCTTTCTGGTTTCTTGTATATTGAATTCTACATTTCTTTCTCTAATATTTGTGAGCTCCTTTTAACTCTGTGGTCAGGAAACCTTGTTAGGGACTTTGGCTGTCTCTGCGTAATTTGGTGGCGATTGCATTAACAGGTTTGTTTTGTTCAAGTTGTGGCTTTCTTTCGTATTATGAATATTACAATGATTTGCGTGCTTTATTTTGTACAATTGTAATATCGTTTCTTTCATATGATGAGTTGGTCATTTAACAATTCTTGTCTATCAATTTTGTCTAATATCACACACCTCCATGCTCTTGCTTGCTTTTTTTAGTTGAGTGGATGTTCTTTCTGCCTGAGAAGTTTTGATATTAATAATTAATTCAATTACAAATTTGGATTGGGTTAATGGAACTTAAGAGGGAAAATTCATTACACTTCACCCATCCATTTAATTATGGTTGGATTCTCTGTCCTCTTGTAATTTAAAAGGTCCACACTATGGGCATTTGGGAACCAGTCAGGTCCAAAGGTGTGTTTCAACTTGAGAATAGAGCATCTAATAATCTTCAATCAATTACCAACCATGATATTGGCAATCTCCAACTTCGCCATGGATATGTGTATCGCACCCAAACAGTTGGGAGTAAGGCTTGGATGATGATGATGACGACCTTGGCAATCTCCAATCAAGGGAAGAGTATGTGGCAGAGTTATCATCGAAGACATTTCACTTACAAATTTCCTCGACTCAAGATGGATTACTATATTTTCTTGGCACCCTTAACACGGTATTAGGATGGCATAGGAACTAAAGGGCTTAGGGTTTTTAGCATTACTTACTTAGTTAAGTCCCTCACGTACTCTGAACACTGCTTCTGGAAGGGAGTTTTACATAAGCACTTTAAAAAGCACCAATTATGGATTCGCCCCTATATCCTCCTTAGTGCTTGGGCATCACATGTTAAAGGGTGAAATGTCCTATGCTAATAGTAGTCGTCATGGGGAATTTACCCTTTGCAAATACCTGCCAAGTGAAGCATAGCCTAATCATATGCTGCAAATGCTTTGATATCAATGAAATCTTAGATTAAATTGAGATATGCCTCTATATACGTAGCATAGAAAACCATATCTTCTTCTCCATGCCTACACCCTCAAGCTTGTCCAACAATTCTATGAGGAGCTCTACCTCCACCTTTATTATATCCTTGTAAAGTGAGGGATTGGGATTTAAACCCTTATATTGTGTTCAAATTTTCTTTCTCTAAATTAGCTTCTCTAGTGGCAATTCATGGACTATTTCCTCATGGAAAATCACCTCCCTTCTCACTCCAACTGTTATTCTCAAGGGTATTTCCTAGTCCTTTACCTCAGATGAGTATTTCTTACTTAAAAAAAAAAAAAACAGAAAAAAAAAGCAAATTATCCTTTCAAGGGCCACACCATAAAATGAATTATCCGACAAAAATGTGGAAGAAAGATTGAGATAATGGTTGAGCTACAGGGTAAACACCATGCTATATTCCTTTTCGTTCTCATGCATCTCATTCATCCCTTATATAATAACAAGCCCTTGTGACTCCACCACTGATCATGGAAATCCTTTATGCTAAGAAACCATGTCTCATCACCTGAATGTTCATGTCTTAGGAGTACAGAGTTCAGCTTGGCTTGGCTCTCTGTGTGAGAAATCAGCATAGCCAAGACATACATCTCATGATCCCTCAAATGTCTTAAGTGGAAGGAAATGATGCAATTTTTGGATTTATGTGGCCTTTCATGGCCTTGACACCCATTTAAGTCATAGCCATATAGTGACTTGTTTGCTCCAGTGGGAAGGTGGGACTGAAAGAGACTGGATGGGGTGGACTTTGGCTCATCCCACACTGGTGGCACACCTACTCGTAGTGACTCACTTGGCTAGGCGGTTTGGGGCTTGAAAGCGGTGTCTTAGAGTCATCGAAACCCTTGACCACGGGGTATGGGGCAGTATGCCCGGTTACTATGAGGGTTTAAGTGTTATCCCTCTATTAAGGTCGGTATGTGCTTGTGGTCGCTCTTGGGATGGAGTGTTTCCATGTGGAGAGGTGGCCTGTGAGGAGAAGGGCCAAATCCTCGACATAGCCTCCCCTTTGCATGTACAAATGGCAGCAGCAAATGATGAGAAGCCACATTCCCAGGAGAGCACTTGCTGAATGACATGCACATGTGCGAAAGAAGGGAACCCCCACATCCTTGTGTAATGCACTGTCCTACTCGTCCTTGGGGATGCACTTGTAATCCAATAAACCTGGAGCTCACCATCTACTGGTTTGCTTTTATGGCCCAATCATGAGCTCCTAGTTGAGACTATGGGTCATGGGTTTCATTGGGTCAATTTGATAACGTGCTCGAGAGTTTCAGGGTCGGCCGAGTGAAGTGCCCTAGTTTAATGAGATCCCAACCCAAGCTCTTAATTCCCGTTTAATGATTTACAAAAGCCTAAACCAAGTCAAATTCCTAGATAAGGTTGAAAAATGATTATTCGGGATTTTGGAGTTTGTTAATAAAGATTTCTAGAAGGAAAAATAAGAATAAAACAATATTTGAGATTCTATAAAAGGACACACCATGTGACATATTGGAAGATGTGAGGCCCTACTGGCCAATGGGGCTCACATGGGCTCATGAAGGTCTTACATATGGGCCCCATACTGCCACCACATCATGTTGACATCATCTGATGGATTATTTTGAAATACTTGTGTTTTGTATGATGGACTTGTGTGGAATACTTGTAATTGTGCACATGGAGTGTGTAGAGAGGGGGCAAACCATGGTCATTTGGACTAAGGGTCAAAGGGTAGTCGTCTAATTGGTCCAAGAAGGGGCACATGACACAAGATCTCCTCTTCATGTGTAAAGTTACATGGCTCTCATGTCATTTATCTTATTGAAACACATGTTGACTTAAGTAAGAGAGAGAAGAGATATAGTATATTTCGTCTCTCTTCCTTCATGTCAAAGGAGAGAGATGTAGAAAGAAGCACAAAGGGGCATGCCCCTCTCTCTTTCTCTACACTCACAAACTTTTTGAAGATAAATTGAATTATTAAGATATTTACAAGGGGTGATTTGAAATTAAACCATCCATTGTATTGAGTATAGTTTTGAAAAAGGGAAATTAGGGTTTGTATGGTAAGGGGATAAAGTGTGAATCTCAGCCCTTGATTGACGATATCTTGCCACAGGTGTAAGAACTTGGATGAAGCCTCTCTTCCGCCTATAGATCTCCTTGATCAATAGCCCGTATTGCTCCAAGTTAAGATGAAAATTTTAGACTGCCACAAACCCTAACCCTAGTTTATAAATAAGGGCCTTGGGTACCCCATTTCTATAACTCTACATTGTAGTGTTATGTTGGCAAAATTTACGGCTATCTGTGCCTTAGCCTCCATGCCATGTCTGTGAGTGCTTGACCTTTCCAAGCTTGACGATTTTGTGTGGTGTTGTTGAACCTTGAGTCCTCTACGCCATGCCCCATTACTATGTAGCCCATTGTGTGTAGTTTGATTAGTTCTTCCTGTAGACCTCAATGTCACCCATTCATGACCTCAATGTAATAGATATGCTGAATTTTTGTGTATGTGCACATAGTCTTGTATTTGACAATCTCAGTTGTTCTTGTCTGATGATGAATAATGAGTAGCCACGAGTATCTTCTTTGGTAGCGTCAGATTTGTCCTAATTGTTGCAGTATATTTGCAGGATGAAAATCCTAGGATGGCTTCTAAGAAGAACAAGATGAGTAAGAAATAGTTTGAATAGTTTTTTTTAGTTGTTTGGGGCTATTTCAAATATTTTTATTTATTTCTTTCTTTCATTGCTGGACCAGTTAAGGACTTTTTTAATTAAAGTTAGGAAGTTTAAAATCAAGTTATACTTAAGTTAGGACCTTTTGGTCCAAAGCTTAATTGTGTGGACAAATATTATCCAAAACATTAAATGGACAATATTTAAGTGGGACATGCATGGCTAGAGAGAGATCACTCACTTTATTTTTAGAGAAAAATTATTGAAGAAGAAAGAAAAGAAGCCCAAGGCTTGAGCCCTAGGTGGGGAGACAACCTTAGGATTTCCTCAAATGTGCATTCATTTGGCTGAGATTTCTTTTTGATTTATACGGTTTTCTCAAGTTCTCTACGTTATTGTATTTATCTCCTGCTTATTGTGAAGGTAAACTTGCTGATGGATCCATGACCAGTGCCTCTAGGAGTGATATATATAAACTTTCATCATCCTTGTCCTTATCTTTCGTAATACATGTGCCTTCTTTTCCTTCCCATCTTCTTTCTGTTAGCAGCCTAATAAAACAACTAAACTGCAATGTCACATTTTACCCCTAACATTGTGTTTTCCTGGACCTGAAAACGAGGAAGACGATAGATGGTTGTGAAGACAATGGGCTATACCTGTTCAACACGGGATACACTTCTACTACTCCCAGCTTTGAGTCTCGAAGTGAGCAAGTCTTCTTGTAGCATTCCCGCTTCTTTCAATGTTAGACCTGTCAATAGTCTAAACATAGTAGAACCTCTTTCTTCTAGTGAAAATAAAAGTTCTAAGCCATTCCATCTTGTTCATTCTGATGTTTGAGGGTCTGCTCCAGTAATTTCTGTACTTAGATATCGGTATTTTATCTCATTCATCTATGTTGTTCTTTTTATACATGGATCTATCTTATGAAAAGTAGAGATGAAGTACCTTTAGTAGTTAAAATATTTCATAAAATGGTGCAGATCCAGTTTGAGACCCAAATAAATTCTTTCCCTGTTGATAATGCACGAGTGTTTCTGTACAATGGATTAAAAAATTATTTTCTTGAACATAGTATAGAAATTTAAACATTGTGTTCCTATACACCACACCAGAATGGTGTGGCAGAATGGAAGAATGGGCACTTGTTAGAAGGGGTGAGAGTCATCTTAATAGGAATGAAGGTTGGACATATTGGGATGAAGTGGTTCTTATTGCTACCTATACGATCAATAGAATGCCTACACTTGTTCTTGATGGTGCGATGGTGCTTATCCACCATGCACTTCCTCTGTTTTCTCTTCAATCAAAAAGCTTTGGTTGTGCCTGCTTTGTGCATATCCTGGAGCTGGCCAGGAATAAATTACGACCTCAATCTACTAGATGTGTGTTCCTAGGACACTTGAACTTTAAGAAAGGATACAAGTGTTATTGTTCATAAATTAAAAGAAAATGTCTCAAAGGATGTTACCTTCTTTGAGAGTATACCCTATTTTTCTTCTCGAATAGATTCAATATCTACTATGCCACCGGACAATTCTAGTCCTCTTCTAATGATAATAGATAATGCCACTAATCCAATTAAGGAACATGTGGAATCTACTGAGAAATAGCTGAATGCGTACACTTGGAAAAGATTAAGGGAAAGTCTTATGCAAACGATCAACCCCAGCACGTTGACTTGTCAGGTACTTCTTCTCCTTCTGGCTCTATGCCTTCTCAACTCAATTTATCTATTGGCTTAAGGAAAGAGAAAAGGACTTGTACCTCTCATCCAATCAGTAGGTTTGTTTCTTATGCTTCACTTTCATCTTCCTTTTGTGCATACTTTTCTCTACTTCCTCTGCTTCTATTCCCACTAAAGTTCCAGATGCTTTGGCTCATTTACAATGGAAAGTGGTCATAATTGAGGAAATGATTACCTTTGAGAAGCAAAGAACTTGGGATATAATTGATTGGCTAGAAGGACGACGTGTGGGTGGATGTTGGTGGGTGTATACCTTGAAGCACAAAACAGATGGTTGGATTGAGAGATGCGAAGCTCATCTGGTGGCTAAGAGTTTTACATAGTTATATGGGGTTGATTATAAGGAGACTTTTGCTCCTGTAGCAAAATTAAAATCAGTACGGGCCTTTTATCTATTGCAGTAAACATGGAATGACAACTCCAATAATTGGATGTAAAAAATACCTTTCTTCATGGAGACCGTTAACTTTCTCAAAAAACAATAAAAATGCCTTTCTTCATGGAGATCTGCAAGAAGAGCTGTATGTGGCATTACCACCCAGGTTTTATCCTCAAGGTGAGAAAGGGAAGGTTTGTAAATTGGAAAGCTATATATAGGCCATTGAAGTAAAAATCGGGCGGTCTACTCGGTCACCGCCCAGTTAGATCGGAATTGACCAGTTCCGGTTTTGGCTGGGTTTAGTGACCGGCCTGGTATTTTTAATTTTTTTTAAAAAAAATTATATAAGATCCCAAAAAATGAGGTATTTTATTTGTACTGCACTTTTTAATGTTTTAATCATTATGGAAAATATTGGAAATTGTTTTGGCCATTAATACTTATTTTTACATTTATCCATCTTTTTTGAAAAATTTCAAAAATACCCCTGGGTACAGATTGATTCTTTAAATTGCATTTTTTTTTCATTAATTTTCAACTTCATTTGGATGTGCTTAGTTTAATCATTCTTTAAATATATATTTTTATATTTTATTAGATTTATTTTTGTATTTTTTTTATATTTTTTTAATACTTTTTTGACTGCTCATGTCTTTGCTCGGTTAGAATGGTCGAACCGGCCTGTTGAACCACTTCAGAGCCCATGTCCGGTTAACCTTTCTGGTTCAATTTTTCTTACACTGATATAGATTGTAACAATCACCTCGGGCTTGGTTCGAAAAAATTCAGTGTGGCAATATGTCAATTCAAATTTTAGAGAAGTGTTTCAAATCATTCTGTATTTGTTAAAAGTGATTCTTGTTTCTACCACAATACTGATAGTGTCTGTGGATGATATGGTGCTCACAGGAAATAATGATCACGAGATTCAAAAATGAAAGATTTCCTAGGGGATGTTTTTGACATCAAGGATCTTGGGCCATCGAAATACTTCCTCGGAATAGAGGTGGCTAGGTCTAAACAAGGAATTTTTTTGCCTAAAAGAAAGTATGCACTCAATCTCCTTGATGACACAAGCATGCTTGGAGTAAACCAATAGAATTTCTCATTGAGGTTAACTATAAATTGTATGATCAGCACTCAGAGCCTCTGTGTAACCCTGGTATATATCAGAGATTAGTGGTTTGGCTGTTACATGGCCAGACATTACATATGCTGTAAGCATACAAGTCAGTTTATGCACGCACCATGCTCCCATCACTTGGATGTTATCGCATTTTACAACATATGATATCTGCTCCAGGGAGAGGGCTACTTTAATCCTAGTCATGGTCAGCTTGATGTACAAGGTTTCTGCGATGCAGTTTGGGCCGGGTGTTCTCTTGATTGACAATCCACCATTGGCTACTTTACGACATTGGGTAGTAATTTAGTCTCTTGGAAGAGTAAGGAGCAAAGCGATCTTCAGCAAAAGTCAATTATCGAGCAATGGCAAGTGCTACTTGTGAAATAATTTGGCCCCGTTCTCTTCTTTAAGAGATGGATGTTAATGTATCAGCTTCTATTCCTCTACATTGTGATAATTAAGCAACAATATATATTTGCTTCAAATCAAGTATTTCATGAAACATTCTAAAAAAAAAGTATTTCATGAAAGAGCCAAGCACAATAAAGTTGAATATCACTCTGTTAGAGAAAAGCAGTGTTCGCAAAATCGAATCGGAACGGTTAATCGGACAAGTGGTTTAACCGGCCCAACCGGTAAACTGGCCGATTCAACCGCTGTACCCGGACAAGTCCCGGGTGGTAAAAAAAGTGTTGAAAAAAGTAAAAAAAATACGAAAAAGAAAAATCTACTAAAATATGAAAATCATATAAAGAATGATTAAAACAAAAACCATTCAAATGACGTTAAAAATTAATGAAAAAATAGATTTTAACCCATTTTATATTTTCCAAGGGCTATTTTTAAAATTTTCTAAAAAAGATGGGAAAATATAAAAGTGTGTATTAATAACTAAAACAATTTTTAATCTTTATCATAATGTAAAGAATATTTAAAAATGCATTACAAATCAAATTCCTTATTTTTGAGAATTTATATACATTTTTTTTTTTTAAAATACCAGTTGATCACCCTAATCGCCCAAAACCCCGGTTCCAATCTAACCTGGCGGTTAGCGGGTAGATCGGGCGATTTTGCGAACAATGGAGAAAAGGTCCCTTCAAAGATAATATGTACTCCATTTGTTTGATTTAAGAATCAATTGGTTGACATACTAAGATCTTGAATCGGGTTTGACCAAATGATACTTTGGACAAGCTGGGCAGCTATGATACATATGCTCGAGCTTGAGGGGAAGTGTAGTGACTGTTATGGGCCCCTCACCCATTAAGCCCACAATATGTATCATGGATTCTTGCTGTAAGGGTTATGCATTTCTTGCTATAACTGTCATGTAGCAGTTATGCATAATGGGCAGTAATAGTCATGTAACAGTCATACATAATGATTGCAACACCTATGGCATGTTGACCTACCTGTATTGTAACTCTCATACGGATATGTGTATATATAGGCCACATTGCCCCATGATTTGTATAGTATAAAACAAATACATCTATATTTTCTTTCTCTAGTGCTTGAATATTACTTTCTCTCTCTTCTCTCTCAATCTTAACAGTTTTATTCAAACAGTGAGGTATTCGTGATAATAATTACGTCCAAACAGGCCCGAAGTTTACATGCTTATCCTGATTTTGGACACATTTTGTAGTCTCATTCTAGACATTTCAATTACGATTTCTATATAGTACAAAAAGAAAGAAGCCCAACGAGAAAAATATAACAATGAAAATGCTAAATAGAGAGGGATGGAGATTTTGGTTTTAAGAGGGCTCATGCTATTAGTGATACAACACTTATTTTATTATATTTGTTCTTAACTAAATATGAGATGCAAAAATAATACAGTAAATGGGATTTTATTTGGATTCTTAATTGTTCAATCCCACTTTGGTTTTGGTTATATTAATGAACAAAATAATTTCTTATGTTTTAAAATTTTGATTATTAAAACTATTGTGTATCCCCATGCTTTGTTTCTCTTCAAAAAAGTGGCCCTATGCTGTGAGTTCGTGTCATACCACCCATATCTGTGACCGGTTTTTATCTCTTCTATGGTATTGTTTTCAATTTGGTTAAAGCAACAGCATATCTACCTGTACACATTGGTTTCTTACTAACATTTACAGAAATTCATGATCGTATGTTTTAACATTATAGTTTCTAATACAGAAGTCTATACTTGCTGTGCACGGCCTCAGACAGCTTAACCTGACTTAGACCTCACAGAAATTCTCCGAACATAGTGGGACATTTTTTTGAGGCCACATGCAAGTAAGTTTTAACTGCTACAAAAACAAAGAGATGCTTCACTATCTCTCTACCTAGATGTACTTAATTTGTAATTTATGACAGTGCCACAACATACGTACATTGAACTAGCTTGTGCATTAACTGCAGTATGATGTCAAGGTCAATGACAATAGCATCAATAGCATTTGCTTTTGTTCGCTCTTTATGGATACGAGTTCATATCACATTCAACTACTTTATTTACTTTTTTTTTGGTAAACAAGTTGGTTACTGACATTTTACTATTATATATTTGATCTAACACAGTAACTTATCTAGCAGTAATAATTAGAATAGTTTTGCTTGTGCATTTGCGATTAATGGAACCCTTCCTTTTTTTTTCTTGTCTCTCTTGCGGAATAGCTTTCTTACTGGACCATTTTTCTTGTGCTTTCTTTCACAGTTTTCTTCTTTCTCTTGCAGTGATCATGCGTGGATCATATATAAAGAAGCAGCAGCAGCAGAAATGGCCTTATCTCACAATATGGCTCAGGTATTGGTTTTGCTTTGGTGGGTGTGTTTTTCCTGGCGCCTTCAGATGGGTAGGTGATAGTGATGGAATGGTTCTTGGAGATTGCATCACATGAATCATCTCTATTGGCTTTGTGCATGATCCATGTACACATTATTTGTTTGTGCTCATGTGGTTGCACATATATGTAATTCCAGTTCACAACAACATATATTCTTGCAGGTGAAATACGTTCAGATGTTGTGAGTGTGAATGTGCATATTGATTTGTTACTGATATCAGATTAATTAGAAAAATAGTAGCTTATAAAGAAATGCAAATAACTTGAATGTGGCACTTCTAACAACAAATTCCGAATGCTCAACAAATATAGTAACACTTTAAAATTCACTTTTTTTCACTATTCTGAGTGGCATAGAATGAGATATATAATGAAATGTTTACCTTCCATGTGCATAACATATTGAGATGCCCCTTCTGTAACATAACCCAGTAAATACCTAATCTCTTGTATGTGATCAAATTCCCCTGCGAGGCTCCAATATTCTTTTACCCCAATTACAGGGAATCGGGATCCTTTTGCTGCAATCTGAGCTAGGAAAAATTTAAAACAATATAAAAAGAAAACAAAGAAATATGTTGGATATGCTAGGGAAACAAGGGCATAGATTTGAAAGGAGATGATTGAACATTGTTTGGTAACCTAAAAGGTGCCTCACCTGAACCATGGATGCTAGTTGAAATGTTCCCTGATTTCTGGGTTCCAATGGAAACTTCTTAATTATTCATATTCTGCATACCAAGAGAAGCTAATAGGGTGTTAAGAACTTCGGCTAGTTGGAATTGACAGGGGAATGTGTCGGACTTGGGGACCTCATGTCACCTTGGATTATCTCTTTCATTAATTCATATAGTATTTTTCTCTAAACATGTCCTATTAAGTTGCAACCATGGTTTTCTTGTAGATCCCCCAAAGAAAGAGTCTTTTGATAGAATAACATCTAGTATCAGTACTACTTGAGTGGCAGAAACTTCGTGATTGCTGGAATCATGTTCTTATGAGGTCTTCAACCTGTAGGAGAGAATGTGATGCCAACTCGGTCTTATCCTATTCTATGCCATATCAGGGCAGTCTATTAGCTTTTGAGGGGATTTCTTGAGCTGCATGTAATTAAAGTGGTTCTGTTAGTCTCAGATATTGAAAGCACAAAGTTTTAGAGGGTCAATTGATCTCTATTGGAACTCACCAATATCAATTTTGCCGTTTCTATATTCTATCTTTTTATGCTTGTATGTTTAATGGAATCTCATTTTTTTTTCTCCTCTTTTTGGTAGTTTGCTGGGATCTACATATCTGTCAACAGAGTCCATCTTCCATCTAAGAGACTTAAGGGGACCCATCTGGATGAAAGAAATTCTGATATGGAGAACTTTGATTTGAAGGTAGTTGTTGTGTACTTTATTGTGCCTTGTTCACTGAAAATATGCGAGTAAAAATGTATGAAATATTTGTTGTATTAATTAATTCTGAAGGATGTTATCTCCCCAACTTGCTCATAAATCCTTCACATTCAGTTCCTAAATTGTAGTGGTAGTTGTTCTTTACCTTTCTATTGGCTTTATGCTAAGGTAGGACATATAAGAATCTTCTGCCATGAGATTGGTGGTATAGTATTGATTTTCTGTTCCATTTTGGAGGATTTGGCCTAGCGGGCCAAGCTTCTTATTCAAGGATGATGGAGGTGATTCTTACATACTTATACTATTCACCATCGATGTCATGAAATGGGCATGCCTTGGATCTCTTTGATTTGTCTAAATTGCTTGAACTACATGATTTTTAGTTTGAAATCCCCTTTAGGAGAACTAGGCTGGCTGCCCTTACCATTTCCGAGCTACATGTCCCCCCTAAGCTTGATAGCTTCCTATTTAGGATGATTGGGATGTGATTGGGAATGGGTATTGATTTCCTTGAAAGGTTCTTTGTTTTGGAATTCATGCTTGGTCCTATTTGTAGTTCGTTTTTGGAGTGACATGGGAAATTGATGTTTTGGAATTCACTTTCCATAAGTTTCTGTTGGAGGATTTGTGGCACAGAATTTTGGATGTTATGCTATAAAAGGAAAAAGGATGTTGCTTACTCAAGAAAGCTATTTTAGGGTTTATTGATCATGCTTATGCAGTCATTACTAATATTCCGAAGATTGGGCTGGACATTAATGACAGAGCTTGCCAGGTTGGTATTACCTAGTCTGGATAGCAGGTCTTATTAGTGGGCTCTTCAGCCTAGGGAAACACTAAAATAGAAGAAACTAGCTGCCTTGATTGTTCTGGCCAGTTGGCTGGTTGAATTCTATCTTGAACGCTTTCTCGATTCAATGATTTGACCATACTAAAGATAGTATATCAATATTGTAGATTTATTAGAAGTGGATTAGGAGATGGTGTAGTTATGGACTACACAAGAGTTTCATGACACTTTCACTATGGTTTACATGTTAAATGTTTTATGGCACTATTGCCATTGGTATTATCCACAATTACCTGCACATGGGATAGGGCACCCTAGGCTCGCATATCTTGGGCGTCAAACCCCTTTAGGCTTGTGTGGGGCATGGCACCCCTCTACGGTTAGGGAGAGAAGACAAGATAAGAGAGAGAGAGAGAGAAACAGAGAGAGAGAGAGGACTAGAGAGAGATGTGTAAAATCCCTTCCCCACAGGGATATTTACAGTGTAAATTAGGATTTTGGGTCCAAGGTTTGCCATCCTTTGGAGACTTAATCTCGACCGTCGATCTAAGGAGACCTATGGGGTGAAGAGATCTTAGCCACCCATTCCCTAAATCTTGAACCTACCCCACACTAAGAAGCCTTAACTTGTCCCAAAGAGAAACATTGGGTAGCACCCATGAATGAGGACTATTACACCATAGTCTATTGTTTGGGAACTTATACTTTGACCCCATGACCAAAAACGCATAGGGTGCAAATGGATATTCAAAAGGAAGTTGAACTTAGAGGGGAAACTAGAGAAGTATAAGGCTTGGGGGGAAACTAGAGAAGTATGAGGCTAGACTTGTAGCCAAGGGTTTGACCTAAAGGGAGGGCACTGACTATGATGAAACCTTCTCTCCGTTGCCAAGTTCCCATCCTTTAGGATTTTGATTTCCACAGATTCCCACTTTGACTTCTAGCTCTACTAGATGGATATCAAAACAACTTCTCTAAATGGGGAGATAGAAGAGATGTCTATATGAAATAACCTAAGGGGTTCATAGAGAAAGGGAAAGAAAACCTTGTCTCTAAACTTTGCAACTCCTTTTATGGCCTTAAACAAGCTTCACAATAGTGATACATCAAATTTCAAGTGACCTTATCCAAGGCAAGGTTTACCTCTAATGAGGATGACTACTACATTGACAAAGGTAAGTGGGAGTGATGTAGTGTTTATTTTGCTCTATGTGGATGACATGTTGAGCATCAATGGCTTGATGACACTCGTGTTGGAAATGAAGGCATTCTTTTCACAACACTTTGATATGAAGGATCTATTGGGAAGGCTTCTTATGTTTTTGGTATTAAGATATTATGAAATAGAGCAAAATCGAACCATTCAACTATCTCGGGCAAATTATTTGCAACAAAATATTGGAGAGGTTCGAAATGGATAATTATGGGCCTATATCTATCCCAATAGACAAAAAGACTAAGCTGAGCCCACAAATGTGTCCAAATGAAGAAAATGAGAAAAAGGCTATGGAGAGAGTGCCCTATCGCAATCCAGTAGGGTCACTCTTGTATGCTATGTTGGGAACTAGACCGGACTTGTCATTCGTAATAAGCATGAATAGTCAGTTCTAGTGTAATTTTTCATGGAACATTGGAAAGCGTTAGGAGAGTTTTAAGATATTTAAAGGGACTATAAATCATGCACTTATGAAGGAGGGCCGGATATCATAGTACAAGGGTACTTAGATGTGGATTTTCTAGGGGACCTCTCTGACTTGAAATCCACATCAGGATATTTATTTATGTTTGGTAGTGTGGTAGTATCTTGGAAGTCTAAATAAATAGGATGTTGGAGCACCATCCACCATGGAATCTGAATATGTGGCATGTTGTCTAGCATCTAAGGAAGTAGTATGGATGAAGAAGTTCCTCAATCAACTCAGATTTGAGGCTATACGATGCACATTTGTGTGGATCTTTTGCAACAGCCAGCCTGATCTAAGTGGCTAAGGAGTCATGCTTTCATAGGAAATCGAAGCATATCAAGGCAGGCCGTTACCACATTCGGAACTAGATCCAACTTGGAGATATAGAGGTCATGTATCCTCCGACAAAGGCAATGTAAGCAAACCCTTTACAAGGTAATTGAAATGTGTTCACCAAACATGTACATGGGATGGGCTTGAGTGAGTGTGAGGGAGAGTAATTGTATGGCCTTCAAAGGTCACGTGGGAGATCTAGGGGTTTTGTGGCCATTTAAAGGCCTTATGAGAGTAAGTAAAATATTAAATCATATTGATATGTTAACTCCTATGAGAGTAGGGTCCGTTAGGACCGATGGGGTGTGTTTTGAGATGTCACGAGTCACCCAGGCTTGATGGGCTAGTCCTGAGATAGAGTTTGAAAACCCTGTAGCACTTGGCATAAGGTACAACTATGGAGGATTTGTAGGGTTAGCCCTTGATGAGGTTGCAAAAATGCATAGGGTGGTTTATTGGCCAGGGGTTATTGTGACCCTTGTGCGTGGTTGGTGGGCCTAAGAGGAGAATTGCTAATTTCTCATCCTCGCCATCACTCATGTACATATAATACTCGTGTTTGGGAGGCGATCCATTGGTGTGTGACATATACATGTGTAGATAAGAGGACACTTGCACCATTGTGATTGTGTATGTATGTCCAAAGGGACAAGACTTGTCCTCAGAGGTGGGCTTGTAATCCACAAACTAGAGCCACGTTATATTCATTTATTAGCTAACTTTCATGTACCAATCATGAGCCTCTACGATGGACTACGGGTTATGGTTCCCACTTGATTATATTTAAAAATATTTTCTTTGAATTGATCTCAAAAATGAATTTTTAAAAATGCTTTGTATATTTTATTTACTAAAAAACATGCAAAAAATTGATTTTTTCAAGTTTTATAAATGCAGAGCAATTTTAAAAATACTTGATTGTTTTTAAGAATTTTTTCAAGGTTTGGGTTTTCAAATTATAGGGGGCATGTGGGGGACCCATTTGGATTAGGGCCCAACACATGGGAGGCACTAACTTGGTGTGGCGTGGAGCCCATAAGGGGTACCCACATGCCTCCCATGCTTCAACCTCTTCTTCTCTCTCTTGCTTTCCTTTTTCCCAAATCTTCTTGAAAGAAGACCAAGAGTTAATGAATATTTTGATTGGTATTTCATTGAGAGAATTGCGTTTTTATGGCAAGTTGTTCCATAACTGAAAATTTTGAAAACTTGTACGTTAGTTTCTTACAATCAAATATTTGATGGAAATGGATCAAGGAGGCTGAGGGACGAGGGTTCTAAGACCTTCCCATTAAAAGGATGACTGAGATTGATAGCCTCTCCTCACCCTACAGATCTTCTTAGATCGACGGTGAAGATTGAATCTCCTTATGATGGCAAACCCTACAGTCCAACAATGCTAATTTGCATCTATAAATATCACCTTGGGTGGTCTCTTTATAGAAGGACCTAGACTTCTCTCTCTCTCTCTCCTCCCTAAAGGTCCATGCCACTCTCTCCCTCTCTCTCTCTCTGTGTCTCTCTCCCCTTCTCCATTTAACCTAGTCCAAAGGAAGATACAAGGGGTGGCACACCCCAAGCCAGTGGCCTAGGTTTTGTGAGTTTGCCCTTCCCTTGTGAGTTAAGGTTTGTGTTTGAAACTTGGTTATGCTCTCATACTAGAATTCGGGTTTTGCCTTGGCTTCCCATTTTATGAGATTAAGTGAAAGACTTAGAGCACATGCGCCATCAGTGTTGGAGAGCCAGATTGGGGTTTAACAAGTCCTTGCAAGTATTCTAAGGCAAGGTACTTTCGTATTTTTTTCAATTCCATATCACTTGATCTCATCTTAAGCATTGTATTTGTTTTTTGATTTAAAAATGAATGTTTATCTAAGTGGCATGCAAGTGAGGATCGTAGGATTGTTTTGTTTTATTTTATGAATGAAACTTGTAATTTTATTGACTTGTAAGTGTTCTAGCCAGTATACATATAAGAAAGCAAGAAATTTTTTTAATTGTATACGCTTGGCTAGATCACATAATCCACCTTTCATGTACATCCTTTAATCTGGATCCCAATACTGTGGGGGAGCTTGATCCAAACTTATTCGGGATCAAATGATAAATTATATAAGACCAATATCCATCTATTTAAAAATATTGGTCCATGAGAGATCTTAACTAGTACAATA